GAAATTTTTTTTACATTATTGTCGATAGCAGTGTTAATGTTATGAACTCAAATTTACTTAATGCATTTATTTTATGCTTTTGTTTGCATGTGCAATGTCTAATTTTGTATAATTCTTTTGGCAACAACCTACTGTAGTTTAGAAACACTGTTCTAAGAAATTGAAATGCAATGTTACCGCTTGTCTTTCCTTCGCACACTGTAAAGGTAATAAATGCTTTCCTGGTTGTTTAATGTTAAATAAATAAAATTTTATGTAGATTTGCATCACTGACTTAATAATACCTTAAGAGGTTATGGGCCCAGCCTAACTTCATCTGCGTTATAAGAAATTTTATTACTAAGCCTAACTGCGTGAATTCCTCAGAAGTGAAAACAAGTTTTATTGCAATCATGGAAGTATTTAGTACAGAAAAACTTTTAGGATCACAAAATTGAGTGTGATAGAAGTGGATGGTTGAAGGTTTACTTATGAAAAAAGAAGCAGCTTTCGAAGTGTGTTCAGGGGGAAACAGTCAAACCAGAGCCGGTTACCGAAGGTGCTTCCCTCGAGTTCCGAAATATGTAGAACCAAGAATTAACCAAGTTTGACAAGGGTAATAGAGCTGCTTGCAGAAATTTTTTCTGGACATTAGACTCAACAATTTGTGATTTAGTTTCTATGTGAAAATTTCAGAAGAGCAGAGAAAAATGTTAGAGCCATGTAGGGACAGTAAACTTGTTGCTTTAATGGCTAAAGATACTGTTGGAAAAACTGCAAATGAGCAAACATTTTCAAGAAAAAAAATGGACCTCTTAACAAACAGAGAAATCAGTATAAATGTTTTAAGTGTGGCAAAAAGGGTCACTTTAAAAGGGACTGTAAATCCCAGAAAAATAATTATATGACAGTCAATCATGATGTAAAGTCCAACTATGGGGAAGCCTTTATTAGTGAGTGTCTCATTGTAACTGATAATAATGCATGGGTAATCAACACTTGAGCTACTCAGCATATTACAAACAAAATTGACTGGTTTCAATCTTATACAAAATTTGAGCATCAAATTGAAGTAAGAGTTGGTAATAATGCAACAATGAAAGCTTATGGACATTATGCCACATCACTTAAAATGTTAGCACAGAGTTCATGGAGAAACAGCTTCATGGAAAATGTACTGTATGCCCCTGATGCCACAAGGAATTTATTTTCTGTACGCCAGGTGCTAGATCATGGATGCGAGTTTAATATGGCAAATGACAAATGTGAATTTTTGAAATCCAAAAATGTTGTTGCTGTTGGAATTCGCTGTGGTAATTTATTCAAGTTATTGTGCAAAACTGGGTCTCCTGAACTGAATGTACCCTGAAGTGCAGGTAAGTGAATCGGGTATGGTTAAGAGGTACAAGAGAAGTAAAACGAACTAGAGAAGTAGTGTTTATTCCTGAAGTTGTTTCATTCTCACTACTGTTACATCAATTCCTGAGCAGCTATCAATGTACAACCTTACTTATCAGACACCAATGAAGAGGAAAATAATCCAGAACCAGCTAATGAGGACACACAATCAGGAAGACAGCTGAGAAATTGACAAAACCTAAAAGCACCTGAAAGATTGGTTGAGTGCTGTTTTGTGGAGTATGTGGAACTGGAGAATTATTGCCAAGTTGTAAATTTGGATGTCTTGGAATGGCAGGTTGCAATGAATGAAGAACTGAAATCTTTATCAGAAAATAAAACATGGTACTTAACTGATCTCCCAGAGGACAGACAAGCTATTTCAAATAAATGGGTTTACAAAGTGAAATGTCATGCAAATAGAGATATTGACAAATTTAAAGCTTGGTTGGTGGTTAAAGGTTCTTTCCCAAAAGGCAGGCATAAATTACTACAAAGCATTTAGTCCAGTGGTACGTTCTGAAACCATTTGTTCTGTAATTAGTGTTGCTGCTAATGAAGGTCTAGATCTGATACAATTTGATGTCAAAACTGCATCTATGTAAGGGACATTGAATGAAGAGATTTATCTGCGTCAACCTGAAGATTATGGTGACACATCAGGCAGAGTGTGTAGATTGGTAAAAAGTATGTATGGGCTTAAGCAGTCTCCTTGCTGTTGGAATACAAAATTCACAAATTTCTTGTTGCATTATGGTCTGAAGGAGAGCAAAGCTGCTCCATGGTTTTTTTTTTTTTTTTTTTTTTGCAGTATCAACGAAGAGCAAAAGTTGTTACTAGCATTATTTGTTGATGATGAGCTTGTTGCTACTGCACATAAGTTTAAAGTCAATTTCTTTGAGGAATTGCAAAGAGAATTTAAAGTAACTTACAAAGATGCTGAATTTTTCTTCAGTCTTGAAATAAAAAGGTTAAGTAATGGTGATATATTTATTGACCAACCGAATTATACCACCAAAGTTTTAATGGAGTTTAATACTTGGGATGCAAATCCTGTCTCTACACCTGTTGAGAAGTGTCAGCTTGCAGTGGAAGATGATGATGATTGGATTAACCGCAAGAAAATTCGTTACAGACAAGCTGTTAGCAGTCTGATGTACTTGGCTGTGGCTACTCAACCAGACATTACTTTTGCAATATTTTGTTCACAATTTTTAGAAAAAGCTGATTACAGACACTGGTCAATGATTAAGAGAGTCTTAACACTTAACCGGCTGATCGCCTATTAATTGGCTTTTTATCACCAACACCTACCAACTGATCGCCTATTAATCGGCTTTTTATCTCCAACGCCTACTGACCGATCGCCTATTAATCGGCTTTTTTCGCCAACGCCTACCGACTGATAGTCTATTAATTGGCTTTTTTTCGCCAACACCTACCAACCGATAGCCTATTAATTGCTTTTTTCTCGGGGCTACTTAAAAATAGCCTATTAATCAGTAGCCATGCCGATAAACAATTGCCATTTGCTATATCATCTACATTTTATTATTAGTACTGAGGTACATTGCTCACTTACGTTAAGTGCGTTGCTTCACAAACTCACTGTTTCACACCGTTTTTTAAAAAAATTTACTGTTCATGATAAGCGAAAAAATGGTACTGGAGAGTTTTATTTAAGAGATTTATCAGATTGTCCTGACAGTTATTCAGGAAGTGATAGTGGTGACGAAAGTGATGGTAAGCGAGAATTGGCGGATGAGCAGCCGGTCAGACGTGCGTATGCTGTTGAACTGCTAGCGGTCAGTAAAGTGTTAAAATATGTTAAAGGAACAATTAATTTTGGAATATTGTTTCAAAAAGCCTACAAACCTGGAATCCTGGAAGCATATTGTGACGCTGATTATGCAAATGATTCTAGTACTCGAAAGGCAGTGTCTGGCATGATATTTAAATACAATGGTGGAACTATCAGTTAGACAAGTCAATGCCAACAGTGTATTTCTTTAAGCACCACTGAAGCAGAATATGTTGTAGCTAGTGAGGCTACCAAAGATGTAATATGGCTGAAGTGTTTATTTGAAGACATAGCTCCTCTGAAAGTAACCCCATCACTACAGGTTGAAAATGCAAGTGCTGTTCACCTGACTGAAAGCCCATGATATCATCAAAGAACTAAACACATAGATATTAGGTATCACTTTGTACGTGATAAAGTTTTAAATGGTGACCTATATGTTGATTATATCTCTGGTAATGAACAACTTGCTGATATTTTCCCAAAACCATTGCCAAGAAAGCATTCTGAAACTCTAAGAGCTGCTCTTGGTATTGTGAACATTACTTTATAAATTGAATTCAAGGGGAAGTGTTAATGTTATGAACTCAAATTTACTTAATGCATTTATTTTATGCTTTTTTTTGCATGCGCAATGTCTAATTTGTTTGTATAATTCTTTTGTCAACATCCTACTGTAGTTTAAAAACACTGTTCTAAAGAAATTGAAATGTAATGTTACCACTTGTCTTTGCTTCACACACTGTAAAAGTAATAAATGTTTTCCTGGTTGTTTAATGTTAAATAAATAAAATTTTATGTAGCTCTTCATGACTGACTTAATAATACTTTAAGAAGCAGTAAGCCTTCTTCCTTTTCCAATTTGTCCCTGCTAAAGTTAGTAACAACTACAATCAGTAAAAAATTTTGCAAGCGAGAAGAAAATGCTCATTTTTCTGTCTGGAAAAAAAATGTTCAGTACACCATGCAGAAATTTCAAATGTGTGTTTTGTAGGAATATATTTTCCCAAATACATACAAAAGAAAATAAGTAACAATGTAGAATATTTCATTTAACAATGATATTGCATAAAATGTAATATCATTGTTAAGTTACTCAAAACATTTTTTCTACTTAGAATGGTTTTACACTTTTTATAATGATATGGTATGGTTTTCCAATTTCCCTGAATTCTGATATATAAAGTTTAGTTACCCTTGCTATAAATTATCACACTGAAATGTATCTCAGTATTCCAGTAAAAAACTGATTAAAAAAAACAGACATAAGCAGAAAAAAAATGAATTATTTTGATTATTGAATATTTAGTAAATGCATTTTATTTTCAACAGGGAAAAAATGTGAATGACAAAAGGCTAGCATAAAAAGATTTTCAGTGACAAATTAAGAAGTTAATTTATGAAAAAACATGTAACAATGCTCTGTATTGGGCAGAGATATCTTTCCAAATAAAATTCCTTTGCAACTGAATTGCACATAATGAACATTAAGAAATTCTCCTCATATAGCTCAAACTACTTTTCCCGAAATTCAGCTTGAAACAAAGCTATTAATGTTTAGTGGTTTTACTTACTTAAGCACTAATAGACCAAATAATATGTCAAAAAATTATTTTTTAAATGATTATTGTAATGCACATCCCATTTTCAAATGATGGACGAAAAATAGAGAAAAAACATGCAATGAAATACTAAAGCGATTTCAAAATAAATTTATACATCAGACCTTAATGAGCAGCATCAAAGAAAAAGGTAATAGCTGAAAACTTTCAGTCTTTAGCTATAATATATATAATAGTATTACATTATGCATTAAACATACCTGAGACCATGTCCCTTTGTGCCATTTAAAAGCACACTCAGGCTGTCTTTTACATTGTCTTCTACGAGGAGGAGGTTTTGGTTCAAAGCAGTCTTCATCACTGATAACTCTTTCTTCGCTCACACAGTGAGGATGGCTGAATTGCTCATTGAATCCGCAACTTGCAGGACACTAAACAGAGAATTATTTTAATACATTTAATAATGGAAATTCTGTAGAACTCTAGCATTATGGACTAAATAGAGCTCATAGATGGTCCAGATAATTAGATTGTCATTTCTCACTAGATCAATTAGGTACTTTCTATGTTGCTGTTCAAAGAAATTGCAACGTAAAGAAAGTATGTACTGAAAAGTTTGTATAAGATGTAAGCTATGAAAACTGCAAGGAGAAAGAAACATGTATATATTTTAATCTATCATTACAAGTTAATTCATCAGATTCTGCGATGACAAGTTTTCATAATGATCTTCATCCTCAAGGTAAGACACCTATGTATTATATAATGAAACTTGAAGCTCAATTATTTGACTCCAACTACCTTTTCAGCACAATATCTAACAAGACTCCAATCACTTGGTTAAAATGAATTTTGTACAACAGTGGGCAATTATGTCTTTTGCTGATACCAAATGAGAAGTAAATTATAATTTATGGGTGTTAACAATTCTTTCTCCACTCTTAATGGTGGAATTTTGAATTGCTTATGAAATGGACAACTTTTTTCAGTAAATTAAAGGGTGATAACCAAAAACTTACCACATTCAGAATAAGTATTAATAAATAAAAAGCATATTAATAAAATTTGTTAAATTAAATAATGAATAAAGGCATATTTAATTAAATAAAAGGCACAGATACATCAGTTCATGAATCATAATCATGAGTGTAAAATTACAGTTCAAATAGAGTATTATGGTTGTATTATGCTTATATTAAAGCCTGTATTAAAATTACTGCAAAAACTCAACTATTAATGAAATTTAATTAAAAAATATCATTGGAAATTATAGCTACTTTCGTGTTTTGACACCCACTTACAAATTCACTTTAGTTTCAGGAAGTCAGTCAAAACAATAAAACATTTATAATATTATTATGTCTTCCACATAAGTGGAATTTACTTAATTTAACTGAATATAAATAAATCAAATAACACTCTGTATGATTTTGAACTTCCTATATTACCAACAGTTCCAAATATAATACAAGCTTCACATTAAATCATGCAAACCAAATTTTTACGGTATAAAATTTTAATTCAGCTTCACCAAGTCACCATCTTTCATCTTTCTGATCCTTGAAAAGTCTACCAGAATATTTTGCTGTATGAACATAATCACTAGCTTTAGCCATGCAAATATAAAAAGCATATAACACAATTCAATTTGACATCCTTGATCTTTCTCCAGAGCAAGAAAAGAGTATTCACTTTTACAGGTAAAGAAAATTAATACATGAAAGGAATAATACATTTGACCCTTTCCGGCACACTATCTTTTAAAGTCGTAGTTTTGATTAAAAAAAAAAAAAAAAAAAAAAAAGGTAGGCAGTCTAATTAGGCCTAGAGGAGTACACTAGTAAAATTTTGTGAAGATAGATACTTATCGTCGTTTAATTCTGTGGGTGTGGTCCAAAGTGGGCACACTGATTGAATAGAGCTTCGAAAAGAGTGCTGAAACAAGCATTGTTGTCAATGAATGGACCAATGAGATGCGAAGAAACAAAGAATACAGACTTTCAATTGTCCTAGATTATCGGTGAGCCCGGTCTGGGCACACCTAGGGTTCGCCATTTGATTTTAAGCAAGATTTCAAGGTACAAATTTAAAACTAATATAGAATAAGGAGATTAGCATACAGCTGAAAAATAACATAGAAATTTCTTTTCAAACAATTCCTTTTATACCCTTAAAAAAATTTGGAAGATTTCTTTGAATAATGAGGTTCTTAAAAAAACAAACATGGCTAAAATATATGGACAGGTTTGTGTTGAGCTGCCATCTACTATAAATAAAGAAGGTTCAGAGTAACCTATAGTAACATATAAATCCTTTTTCATTCAATTTTTCTGTGCGTACAGAAGGAAATTTTTAGGTGTGTCCAGACCGGACACACTGTGCCGCAAAGGGTTAAAGGGAAGTGCCAGGCAGGCACAATAATTATGGAAAATGAGAGTCTCCATGGCAAAGTGATAATTAAACACACAATTTTAGGTTTCTAAATTATATGAAGTAAATGAAAATGAATTCATAAAGAAATCTAAAAATTGTATAAATTGGTTTATGAATAAAACTTTTCCTATAACATTATATAATCAGTTACTGAATAGATTCTGAATATTAAATTATAAACTAAACTGAAGAAGAGAATTAAATTATACAGACCTCAGTCCATTCTGACCATTGCCAAGTTGGGCAACTACGTACATGACAGGAACGTGTGCTAGGAGGTACTGGATCCGGGCAATTGTTATGGTTTTGTTTGTGCCCCTGGCTATTAATACAATCTACATTACGGTGCTGCACACCCAAGCCACAAGTTAATGAACACTATGGAAATCAATAAAATGATTTTTAAAACACCATACACAAATACATATAAGCAGTAACAACATATGAATATAGACTAGGGGTTCTCAACCAGGGAACAATTCACCCCTGGGAGAGATTTCATAGTTTCAAGGGGGGGGAATCTGGTCAGCATTTTATTTAGCTGTTAAATATTTATTGTGAAAATAACAAATCCCTTTTATTCAATTTGGTACTTATCAACATTTTCTCTATTTTCAGTTATTTAATCTATAAAAAATTTAAAAAATAATCTATATCTAAATAAATGTATATATGTATTTTTTCAAGCTTGCAAAAGGAATGGCAAATTATCTACTGATGATGAAAGGGGTGCAGGGGGTAAAAAAGGTTGAAAAATACTGATATATAGTCTGTTAAATGAAAACATGATGACACAAAAATTTCTTCCAGGAAGATATAAAGTTGTCATTCAGTCGGGTTTCTGACATCACACAATGGGGAATTCTGACATTACACAATTATTCTACCTTGAGCACTAAAAAGTTTAGTAATATTGCTAGTACCTTCAAATAATTCAACAAATGGAGCCCTTTTACACACACAAACTCAACAATAAATTCCAAATTGAAAATATAAGATTTTGAGCCATATGCATCAATTGAGAGAAACTATGAAATAATGATTATGCACACAAAATAGTTTAAATGAATTGCAAAAACAGGCTTTAGAATGAATCACAAAATGGATAAAGCGCACAGTTACTCGGTAGCAGTACAAAATAAATGAGGAACAAATAAAAACAACTGCAACAGACAATGAAATCTAGTCACTCTCTTGAATGAGAAACAACTGTGTGCAAGAGCCCAATGCTTTGCAGTTCATCTCCTGTCAGGTGACATTATTGCCTGAAAATTTGTTTTTCATCTCTAAAATTCATCAGTAATTAAAAATATGTTATTAGATGCTTTTTAAACTCATGCTAAAAAATAAACAACAAGTATTAAAAGAAAAATGAGAATGTAAAACATATAATTTACATATGAGGTACAGGTTACGTCGCCAAATGCAAACAGGGAACCAAAATTAGCATAAAACACAATCTTGCAGAGAAAGAGGCATGCCAGACTTATGAATAATTTCGCAAGCAATAATAGTTTCATATAATCTGAGGTGGCCCAAACTGAAAGCATGAGCCAGAAGACACCATCTGCATGATGAAATGCATTGGAGGGCTGATGGGATGTTGCAAGCTGGTGCAAGATAATATGTTGTTGCGAGAGAGCTGAATACACATCGTAGTGTCATCAGTAGGCTGTGGAATCGTTAACCAAAAGCATCAAAGCTTCTTTAGAAACGGTGGCCTGGACGTTGGAAGACTACCACAACACAGACGATCGCTTCCACAGGATTACCACAATGGCAGACAGACGATTGCTTCCTCTTCTATGTGCAAGACGAAGTAGTTGCCACATTGCAACTCTCTGCTGCTGCAAGACCCCAACTGTCCCCAACTGTCCCAACTGTCTAAACTGCTTGAAGGTGGATTGCATGCCCGACAAAATGTAGTTTGTGTTCTTTTGACCCAATCGCATGTCAGAGCATAGTTAAATTGGGACTGTGAACATCGCTGTTGAACATCAGCACACTGAGCCATGCACTCTTTATAGATGTATCTTGATTTAACATCCAGAACGATTCCTGAAGGACAATGATAAGGCGAGAGCCAGGCACATGCTGTAGGGCATTCAAACATCGTCAAAAGAGACCATTACAGAGGAGGAGGCTTACTTGTATGGCCTGGGATGTGTGTTGAGTTGATGTTAAAACTAATCTAACAGCATTGTAGAAGTGACTTTTAGGTTTGCTTTACTACAAACAATTTGAATGCAAGTCCACAGTTAATGAGAAACTGTAAACCAGGAATTCTTGGTTTTTCTGAAAAAATATTTGTCTCTTGGAAAGTCTTCACCTGATTTCAAAGCATTACAGCCTGAAGATTATTAATCATATTAGAGTAAAATGCCAACAGTTTGAAAGGAGTTTTCAATTTCATTTGGTTGGCGAAAGATGTGTCCAGTGCATAAAAGTGATGCACTATAGTAACATCTTCCACCAATTCTCAATCAACTCTCCAACTCTTATCAGTACTGATCAAAATGGTGAGCCACCCACAGAAAGCTTTTTATTTTCTCCAGTGTCATGTATGCAAATTTATTACAACAGTGCAGTGTGATTTCCACCAAAGAATTCAACACCAAATATTCTGCTGCCTACTGCATTAGAAAGTGGTATACCAGTTTTACAGACATAGGATGCCTGTGTGCTGTAAAACATTTAGGTCATCCTTGCACATCTGAAGAAAATGTTGAGTGAATTTGAAACATGTTCGCAGTTTGCAAAAATTGACATGCAAGCAAGCTGCAAGCTTGGCATTCTCCATCAAACAGTATGAAAACTGCTACGGCATTTGTTGCTAAAGGACTCAGTTTCTCCAAGCATTTCATGAAGGGAACAAGAAAAAGCATTTTGTGCTGTGTAGACAGGGAAGAGGATGAAATATTCCTACTGCAGTTGGTTTCCAATGACAAGATAGTGTTTCATTTGTCTGGACAAATAAATAACCCAAAAAAATGTCCAAATTAGGGGAACATAAGAGCAACACATTATCAGGAACCACAAAACAGATGCATACAACTCAAAGAATATATACAAACTTTGATACCCTTAATGCATACAACTTAAAAGAATAAGTTTTCAAGTTGTGTTGACAGTGAGGTAAAATGGGCCTCGAGATTTAACATTTAACTTTTGGTCACCTCATTTCACTGACCTCATAGTATGCGATTTGTTTTTACAGAGGTTTATCAAAGATTCAGTATACATGCCTTCCCATCTGAATACTTCGTATTAGTTGAAGAAATAAATTACAGCAGCAGTTAATTCTATGATGGCTGAGAAGAGTTCAATGAATGAGTTAATGGCCGTGCTGCTAAAAGAGGCCACACTGAATATTTTTAAGTATCTTATTACAAACTTGATGCAACTGCAATTACTTTGCATTGCGTAACAAATTTCCATTGTTTTTTTTTAAAGTCAACACAGTTCTTTGATGGTGAATAAAGACTTTAAAGACAGCTTATATACCAATCAGTTCATTTAGAAACATCTAGTAAAAGTTTTAGCTGTTAATATTCCATAGATAATCCAGAAAAAATAAAGAATATGGACTTCCTTATTGCTAGTGGCAAAATCTCAGATAGATTTTGGCAGAATTTTAAGTTTCTGAAAATTGTCAAAACAACACAACATCATTAAATGTAATTGCATGTGTGTATTTTCAATTTCTGTTCACGTCAGTTTATAGCAGCTAATGTTTTTAACATAATGTACTAGTAAACAGTAAAAGCACTCGCAGCTTTTTACACATTGCTTTACTCTCAATAATTTAAATGCTTTTTTAAAAAGGCTTCTTATGTTTTTCAACAAATTTGCATTTCTCCACTTACTTAAAATTAATATGGAAATACTATACTTGATTCTATACAATACATACACCCCCCCCCCAAAAAAAAAGAGCAAAGCTGAAAGTAACTACTAAATGTCCGTATAGAAAGAATGAAAGAAACAAAGATAAAGTTTTGTTCAACAAAAGGCAACACTTTTTGCCGGCTCTAGAAAAGAATTTTCGTCCATCTGATAGCTTTAATTAAGAAAAAATATTCCCATAAACTTTCAGTTCATAAAACTTTGTTACCTCTTCTTTGAAGTTTATATGCTTTAGTTATGTTAAAATTTACTTTATAGTACCCCACATAAATTTACCTATTGCAATTGTAACGCTTTTGTAAATTTTTCAGTTTTTGCAACTGTAAATAACTATTTATTTCAACTTGCAAGCAAGTTCTGCCCCAAAATTAAGGAGAAATTAGGATCAGAGTTTTAATTTTGGCTACATTTCTGCATGAAATAGATGAAAGAAGACATTTTTACTTAATTTATAGTTACAAGAATTGTAAAATATTACTTCAAACAGTGCCTACCTGCGACCATGGACCTTCAAGCCATTTGTATTCATTGATTAAATGACAGTCTTGTTTCATACACTGTTGTGTTACTTCAGGTTTCCTTGAAATATCACAAAATATATCAGGTATTCTCTGTCCACTGTCATTATAGCACTGAACTCTTCGAACCTGGTCACCTTTTCCACAAGTAGTACTACACTAAAGAAAGGGGCTGGTAAATGAAACATGGACTAGGTACAAATTTTATTAGCATTCTAGGCATAAGTGACTCCATTACTGCAGCACAACAACAGTAACTTAACTTATTTAAGATATGACTTTATCTATAACCTTTGATTGAAAAACTGAAAGGACAGTTTAACAAGCAGTAAATTAACTTGAAGAGAATAAGAACATTTCAGCATGAAGGCATATACTAGGATTAAAAGATACAAAAATTCATTGTTGTTAAAAAAAAAAAAAAAAAAAAAAAACCAGAATTATAGTAATGCTAATTTAAACATTTTTTCACTATTCTGGTAAATATTTTAGAACTGTGGATGATGGATCATATTCTGCCTAGAAATTGCGCCTATGTAAAGTTGGTTTTTGAAAAGTCTCTATAAAGTTGAGTTTTGTTACTCATTAAATATGATCACTCTACTTAAACAATACACAAGTAAAAATACAATAACTGGGTATAAATGGATTTCCACTATTTATAATAATAAGCATTAAAGTGCAGAATTAAAATTATTCAGATGGGGAATATGGAAGAATACAGTCGATTTTACTTTATCCTTAATCCTCTGAGTTTTGATGAAGACAACTACACTTCTTTCATGGGCAGAGAATGGAGTATATTCTGATGCAAAAACAGAGGTAGTTGCAAAAGGTCCAGTATACTGATCTCGTAGGTTGTTCCCACAAAAGGAATTGCTTTCTATGAATATCTGTAATCAGTTCAAATTAGAACAAATACTAAGGTTATTTTTTGCTTGCAGCAATTTACATTTACCCTACAAAAAGTTAATTGGCTCTCAAAATCTTAGGATGAGTTTCTATTAATCCTTATTCACTAAATTTTGCTTTCAGTAATTCTTGCCTTTACTGATTTAGATGCAAAAATAAACATTTTCACTTTCTGAAAAACCTATTTCACATATGAGAAATTTCCATTATTCCACTTTGTACAGCAATTCAGTTGCATACTGTATTCTACTGCTAAAATCATGGAGATTTAATCTAGTACAGTAAAAGCTCGACTATCCAGAAAGTTCAGGAAATGCAAAGCCAGATAATGAAAATGATGAAATAAATGAGTATATAAAAAGTGCAGTTCACAGTAGAAAAGCGAAATAAATGGATGAAGAAATTTTGAGTCTAAAATTATAAAAACAGTTCCCTTAATTGTTATCAGTTTGAGTAGCAAAAGGATACATTTAAAATTATTTAAGGTTTTGAAATAAAAGTGCATTTAGGATATAAAAGCCAACCTAATTTCGTAGGCCTTCAGCATTCAAAAGTAAAGCATTTCATATAATCATGAAACCCCACTGACCATAAAGTTGGTGAAGATTCCCGTCGAAGTTGCACCAATCATTCCAGCACAAGTGTGAAAGAACTGGGTGCTCTCCATTTAGTGTAGATAAGAAATGTAAGTTACAGATATAGCATGCAAAATTATTAAATCAATCGAGATAATTTTTCAGATTGCACAGCTATTGTTTATCTATTTCAAGTAAAGTTGCACATCACGCCTGTTAACGAACACTTTCCTCGTTGCTAAGATTATGTAATTTTGGCTAAAACTAAACTGGCTTATCAAGAATTAATTGGGTTAACATAAGACCAAGATGAAAGTCTTATGACCGTATTGTGACATCATACTTATTCATTATTGGCATTAAATCACTTTGCCTAATGACAGTTTTTGTTGAGTCAGTCCTGCGTGCTTTATGATGGCTTTACATGTCTCTCATTTGCCCAACTCTTCATAAAAATAGAAAAGAAAAAGAACTAAAATTTAAAAACATTCTAGTTAGTTGAGCTTTTTGGTTTGTTGAATGCCTGATTGTTGGAATTTTTTTTTGCCACCCAGTACCTTCCTAAATTCCAGAAACTTTGCCACCCTTACCATCGCAATGCCCTTAATTCTAAAAATTTTGCTGCTCAATGCTTTTCTAGATTCCAAACATTTTGCTACCCCTAACTTTTGCTGCTCAATACGGGACATGACAGTTGTGAGTATATAGCATTACTTAAATCCAACTGGAACTCGTAAATTCTGATACTTCTCAACTTTTGTAAGAAATTTTAATTCCAGAACCCAAGTCAGATGAATTCATGTGACATTCTTCTTGAAACATAAGGAAAAAACTTACATTTCATGGTCTTAATGAAATATTGTTCAAATGATTTAATTTTTTTTTATCTTTAGTTTAAATACACAAGGTTTCATTTCATAATTTTTTATAATATATTTACCATTAACATTTTTATTGTATTTAATATTTATCTAATTAATATCTGTTTGAAAACGTCAGAGAAAAGAATTTTGGATAATCGAAAATTTGATTTTTTAAGAAATGAAAACACTGATTCTATATTTTGAAATCTGAATTCTATACTCTGAAATTCACTTACACTTACTGAGGTTTAGCTAACTGAAATTTTATTGTATTTATTTATCATTTAGTTTTATACTTCATTAATCACTCAGCATTTGTTTATTGTTTACCATGACTAATGACTTTCTGAGAAGGCTCCGATATTTTTAACTTTCGGTATTATGCCTTGCTACATAGTATTTATCAGTATAGTTTAATCAACAAGAGGTATAAAATAAATTTAAATTATTCCTAGAAATTCCTTTTTGTTTCATAATATAAATTTCATCCACCTTCATTTTAATATGAAATATATTTCATGCAAATCAATTATAATCAAATGCACTGATTGTTTTAAAAGCACCTTGTAATATCCCCTGTCTGAAGAATGTATCAAAAAGTTTAAAGTATGCAAATTTGCAGTTCTTTCTCGCCCAAAAAGCATGTAAAGCGAAGTTAAATAAAAGCATCCTTAAATTTAGATTACAGTAAATTAAACTGAAACTAAAATTTCCAATTATTATTATTTTTTAGTAAATGTGGTAGATTTTAATGGAATGAGTATCATTTCAACTGTTTCTTCAAATTCTCACTCATAAACAGGAAAAGATTAGGTAAATAAAATACTAAAAGAAGTTCTCAAAGTACCTCACTCCATTCTTCTGCAGACCAATTAGGGCAGGGTCCATTGCTACATTCTAAAGTTTCAGAAGGTTTATGACTGGTGTCACAATTGAAACTGTAAGAACCATTATCTGCATGGCACAAAACCTGGCGCCGCTTAATTCCATTTCCACAGCTAACTGAGCACTAGATAAAAAAAAATATACATATAAATAATTTGTACGTAAGCATATGAGAATTAATTTACTGCAATGATATAAAGTAAAAGTAAAATTCAAAGGATTTCATTTTTTAAAACCTCCAAAATATTCAAAATCCTTTAAAGCTGATTATAATAAATAAACAGCTCAATTTCTTTATTTTGCAGAAATACGCGCTAAAAATAATCAATGGATAATTTTTAAGATATATCACATGATAGCAGATAAACTGGATACAAATCAGTGAATCTAAGATCATGTGCTTAGCTTTGTATTGAACTACTTTTCATATAACTGTTTGATGCAGAAGTACTGGGTATTTCAAGAAATTCCTTTAGATCCCACTTGCTTACACACTTATCACATTAATTTATAAAATTTAAACTGAAGACATTATAATATTATGTATACGGAGGTAATAAAAAACAAGACTAAGCCGCCCCCCTGCTTCCTTAACGCTTTTAGCATAAAAGAAGTTAGGGAGCAAAGAATGATTTTAATACCATATGAAAACATGAAAGGAATTTTATATATATATATATATGTGTGTGTGTGTGTGTGTGTGTATATGTGTGTGTGTGTGTGTGCATGTGTGTGTGTGTGTATGTGTGTGTGTGTGTGTGTGCATGTGTGTGTGTGCATGTGCGTGCAGTGTAACAGGATATATTAAAGAAAGATTTTTGTTCCTTACTCCTATCATTTACACGCATTCCTACATGCAGTAATTACAATATGATTTCTGACAAGTTTCTAAAAAGGGCTTATAAATTTAGAATAATACAAATAAGAGTTCAAAATACGATATTCTTTCAGTAAATCAAAGGCCCAAGGTGTTATTTCACAGTTACTAATTCCAACTCAGAATGTAATCAGTCAATTTGAAATATTAACTTTAAAGTTAATGTTTCAAATTGACTTTCCTGAGTTAAATTTTAAAAACTTAGGTGTCCAGTTTTCTACTGTTTATAAACATATGTACAAACTTCAAAAAGGGAGCATACACTAAACGTTTCCTAGATAAATACAACTTTGAAATCACATAATTATTTCTGAGTTGTAAAACTAAGCTTTGTTTTCCGAGTTTTGAAAATCAAATAATTATTCTGCAATTTTGAAAATAAGTACAAGGTGCACTTTTGGGTTAGAACTAAAAGATAATTTATTTTCTTAAACAAAAAGGTAAAAGTAACAATTTAAAAACAAGTAAAACTTTTTAAATACACAACTGCAGAATTTTGTATTTTAAAAGTATGAGGCTACAGGAATTTTTTCTGTTACTTTGAAACTGTAAATGAACTCAGCATTCAGTTCCCTAAAGTATTATAGCACTGGCTCTAGTTAAGTGTTAAGCCTGAAGATACTTTACATAATCTTCTTTGAGAATGCTTCAAATTACGTTTGCCCATTATTTTATATTTTGTACATCTACATCCAGTCTAGACCACAAATTTTCAATGAAACTGATATCTGAAGATTGGGAGGGATTTATAGCTGCTGCTAATACTGGAAAAGTAACAACATACAGTCAAAAGCCTTTAATCCGGACGTCCATAATCCGGAATGATCTATCCGGACCTCAAAGCTACAAACTTTCTTCGCATGCGTCAACGCATAATGCGTTAATGCATGCGCATAATAACTTTACACGTGCGCATATGCGTCTACGCATGTGCATAATACGTTTACGCATGCGCTTTTAATGTATAACGGATGGTATAAGCTAAGCTAAAATTATCTAATTATGTATTTCAGTTAATGTTGCAGACTGGGTTGTTCCTTAATCTTCTAATTGAATCCGGCTTATTATTTTTTGCAGACTGTTAGAGAAATTTTATAAAAGTATGCTTGAACTTTCGATTATGTCAAGAAGAATTTCCGATTCTACAGCTACCAAAGGATCTACAAAGCGAAAGCATGTTTCGATGTCCATCAAACAAAAAGTGGAATTGCTGCAAAAAATGGATAAAGGCATATCCTTTGATTCTCTAATCATTCCGAAATATGTTTACCAATTTCACGCTGCTCTGCGGGTGGGGGGGGGAAGCGGGGTGCAATGAACTGGAAGTTGATCATTCAGCACTATCCTTATCTTCAGGGCAGATGTTGTTATTTTATTCGGCTTATAATTCCTTACTAAATGTAGTATTTGATCTCGATGTACTCCGTCTTTGGTCATTATAAATATTACGAATACACATCGAATAGTTTTCTGGTTGCAATTTTCTAATTTCGACTATGCATAATGTATGCTTTACGCATGCGCGCGTTGAAAGAAATGTTTAATAAAGAAAACAAATAAATATTATGCTTTTTTTTTGTAAATTTTGATACTCTTTAGATCATAATTGCTCTTTATTTCATAATTACGGTTTCATATTTTTAATTTTATCATTTCTGCATGCCATCTTACCAGATTTAAACTGATGATCTATAATCCGGAAAACCGATAATCCGGAATCGCCGAAGTCCCGAAGAGTCCGGATTAAAGACTTTTGACTGTATTAATTTTTATTTCTAGCAGTAGTTGTTAAAACAAGTTTATTTACTAGATATACAGGTATTCTTTTGCTAAAATATGAAACTTCCATCAAAACACAAAAATACTTTTCATTTCCCTTCAGTGTACCTAAAGTAATATGAAGGTTTATGATATAGCCAATAAATAACAAGTTTACAGCCATACCCTACAAAATCAAAGATGATTCTACCGGGTTTAGATGGTTTGCATTCAAAACGTTTTGGTTTGCACAAATACCCTTACATATGGTTTCAGGGTTTCTCCAACAGACATCAGGCCATATACCTTTTGAGCAATGCAAAAAGGTTTAGGCAAGTAGATTATCAAATATTTCATCTCAATGGAGTTTTGCTACTCTTTTAGCACAGTGATAGAGAAGCCAATTCCCCACAGCCTTGGGCCCAGGTTTGAATTCTAGAGAAAGTATGGATGTTTGGTAGTGTAGTGTCTTTGTGGAATGAGAACACTTAAAATGCTATAAAAAAGTCCTCTTGAGAGGTTGGTGGAAGGGAAAGAAGGGTTAGAGACCTTGTCTTCCATTTCCTGAGAGATTCTCTTTCAAAACTGTCCTCAATTAAAGTGTCCAAGGCCTAAACACAAGTAACAGATGCATTGTTATCTGTATTTCATTAAATTGATCATAGATCTGAATGAATTTGACTTGCGTTTTCTGGCTGCTCCTCCACTGCTGTTGAATTATGTTACAAACAATACTGGCTGAGTGGATAAAATCTCCGGGCACTAGTTCCGGCCCAGATTTAGAATTTTTTTACTGTCAAACTGATTGGTTACAAGGATGATTTCATAGAACATCCTCACACATTAAATTAGCACTGAAAGCAGGAGACATTCTTCTGAAATAGATTACCTTTATGCAGTTTACCATACTTATGATCTACTTATAAGTACTATTCCATGACAATATCCCTTTTTGTGACAAAATATTACATGATGCATTGATAATGAATTATGAATATTCCCATTCATTTGTTTGTCTTAATCCCATATTATGATGTGACTATGGTTCCTTTATTTAAAGACTTTTTTTGGGGGGGGGCAACTCATGTATTAATTTTCCTAACTATAGCACTGAAAATGTAACACAATACTTTCACTATTTTGAATTATTCACATATTAGAAAACTATTTATATAATGTGAGTACTTTATTTATTTTTTAGACATAGATAGGGTGTTCATATCAATGAATGAAATAAAATTTCATTACTACTTTGATCTTCACAGTTTAGCTTTAAATAGGGTGTATATATATAAATTGCATTTGTCACAAAACTTGACTTTAAATGATGCATTCAAAATTACACCCCAAATACTGGATGAGAAACAGGAGCTTCTCTTTATATCTAATACGCTGAAACGAAGTTAAGCAATTTTAATAACATTCGTGATAATTCTCTGAAAACATTAATAGTTATATCAATATGGGATAATCTTTTTTTTCTTCCTGATCTTTTGTTAATTTTAAAGGCTTTCTCATAATAAATGTTAACACTTATGAAAGCAAAATAATAAAGATCTTGCAGTTTTCTTTCTAATTGTAAATCTACTTATGATTTGGATAAACCGTATTTCCTTGCTGAAAGAAAAAAAAAAAAAAAAAAGACTTTCAGTTGTTTACAAATCTAGTGCTTGTATTTTTCTGAATGCTAACAGTGCCTTAAGTTACTGTGCCCATTTCTGTAGCAAAATAAATGTTTGAATAATATCACAGAGATAAGGATAGAAATGTAGCATGATGGACTTACGACTTTCGTTTATGGATGCAATTTTGGGTGACGTGTGTTGTTGCTGTAGATAAAACGATGATAGCTTGGCTCAGTAATATTAACATTTTTTATTTAATGCTAGAAAGGATATACATTTCAACACACGTTCCCTCATTTCCAGTCACATTGAATTGTCTCATTTACAGTTCACACGATAAGCATTTTTATAGGTAGCAAGTCCACGTAGGTAAAAAATCATAAAAGTTATACTACAGCTACGAAGACATCAGGAAGCGAAAGAGAGGTGAAAGCGTGCTTCACTGACTGCAGCTAGGAACAGAGTTAATGTCATCGTCGCATGCAATTTCCTTATGCAAAGTCTCACGTGACAACTGATGTCATTTCACTGATTACCAACTGGATTTGACAGGTGGTGCCATCTCTTGAATAGAATTTAAAGTATCTGTGAGAACGCCACAGTACTTCCCCCCCCCCAAGTACCACTGGTATGATATAAATATTTTGGGTTAAATTTAACCGTTCTTCCAGATCTGGTAGTTTTAGGTTGCTCTCTAACAGGATTGAAGCCTTCTTCTGTGGGTAATGTTGATGGAGAATTTTCTGGATCTTGCATCAGAAATGCTGGTTTGAGATGATTGATTCTAATCACTGATTGTTTGCCGCTGCAGATGATAGTGAAATGTTTAGGTGTCCATTTGACAACTTTGAATGGGCCATTATA